GTGGTGGTGGTGGCGGTGGTGGTGGTGTTGTTGGTGGTGTTGGTGGTGGTGGTGGTGGTGGTGGTGGTGGTGGTGGTGGTGGTGGTGGTGGTGGTGGTGGTGGTGGTGGTGGTGGTGGTGGTGGTGGTGGTGGTGGTGGTGGTGGTGGTGGTGCTATGTTGGAATCACTTACTGACGAAAATCGTTTGCTGTGACTGTCTTTGGGTTTGTGTTCTGCAGGCTCCTCGCCGTTTGCAAACTTGAACTTTAGTCGCTTGCAGACCCCTGTCGCTGCAAATCAACATCAGTCGCGTGAGCGTATAAATCCTGACGCCTTACGCAGTCGCCGAAGACTGAATGCATTCGACAGTGACAATTCAGCGAGTGAATTTGAGCACGCTTCGGCTGCCGAGCAGCATGTTGCAAAGCGCAGCCGACTCGCGTCGACAAGTGCCGGTGTGAACGCCACTACCAGTTCTTCCACGACAGAACCGGTTTTGACGAGCAGCTCTTCTTTGGCGGCTCAAAGTCTTGTTAATTTGGATAATGGCACTGATTGCAATCAGACAAGCTCAGACTCTGTCGCACGCAATGCCAGCGATGATCACGAGCCGGACGCTGTTGGACGCTATTGCAATCCACCGATTGACGAAGTGAAAAATCGGCTTGGCTCTCTGAATGTGGATTTATTCTTGAACACGTTGGATGAAGCTGCTTGAGGCTTTGGTTTGTTAGAAAATGTACATTTTTGACAAAGGTGATGCGCAAGACAAATGATACCCGCGCAAAGAGTCGGCACACTTTCACTGCTGAGCACATCATATGGCTGCCGTAAGCGCAAGAACGATCGCAACTAGACCAGCGCTCAACGAGCAGTCACGGGGGACCCTGCGCACTTCTTCTTCCTCTACCGAACGGACTGATACACGCGCGCGCACGCTTTCTGTGCTGTTTACTGTTATATGCGCATCGGCACAACTCGTGGTGTTAGGCAGGGTCGGAAGGCGATACAGCGGATTACCTGCCGGCCTTTTGCGGAAACAGCAGTGAAGGTTATACCACGCTGTTTCTGAGCTGTTTGAGCTAGTATTGTTCCGCCCAGGTCACGTAAGATTGTGTTAAATATGTATTTTAATCGTAATTTCACTGTCATGGCGATGGAACACTGCGATTGGTAGCATACGACGACTTTGCAGAATGTGATCGAAATCAACTTCACTTTGTGGAGGTACCTTGGCACTTTTCATTCCTGGTGTTGGATGGAAGTCAAGCGCCGGTGCTTATACAGTTTGTGGGACGTATCATTTTTGATGCTGGAGTATTTCCGGATGTTGCGCAAGCTCGACTCTGAGTTCGGGAACACTGGGTTTTGAGAATTGGATTCTCTTGTGGCTTTCGTTGTTTCCATTTCTCGATGATTTCCGATATTCACGCGCCGCAATGACCAGTACAGTATCGTACCCGCCCACTAAAGGCAACACACAACGAGACCAAAACGAGCCCATAGTCAAATCCAGAGCCCTTGACCAGGATTGCTACAAAACCTCCATCAACAACCGAAAATCGTTACGGACAATCGCTGACTGGACGGAATAAACTCTAATGTTGACAAAACAAACACAACATCACTCACAAATGCATTGACATACCATAAATTCACCACGTTAGACCAAGATGAGAACGGCTCATTCTTAATTTCAAGAACAGAACAATGGCTCAACCAGTCCCAGTCAGGCGCGTCGGCATCGTCGGATACGGCTCACTCGGTAAGAACGGTAGATTCAATAAAACCAATCGACAACGCACTACATACAGTACTCATATATGTGTGTGTGCAGCGAGTCAATCGTGCATGGAGCAAAACAAAGGTCACTCACAACTCATGGTCATGGTATTGATTCCCGTTTCCATCCGTGCCTCGTGCTTTTGCCCTTCCTGCCTCTGTCCACCTGCCCCGTCCTGTGGTGGTGTACAGGCCAATACCTCGCAGATGCAGTGCTGCAACGCCCCGACCAACTCGAGCTGGCCTTCGTCTGGAATCGCTCCATCGACAAGCTCAAGGGCAAGGTGCCTGAGGCGGCAATCCTCGCCAATCTCGACGAGTTTGAGTCACGGTACAGTCAGAAATCGAATCGAAAACAAAACATGCACTCGATCTCGAAGCAACCCCCAGAAGGGCATGATGAGTGAGGAGGGGGCTGATAACCAATGTTCTGAATTTCCTGTTGATTGCCTTTGGGCTTTTCGCAGCAAGGCAGACCTCATCGTCGAAGTCTCGCATCCTGACATTACGCATGCTTACGGAGCTCGTTTCCTGAAGGCTGCCGACTACATGGTGCGAAATTGATCCTCCTATCTGGCGCTCTTGCACTGAGCATTTTCTCTAAACCGAACGAATTCATTTTGATTGCTCCAGGTCGGATCTCCCACCGTATTCGCAGACAGTCATCTCGAGTCGCAACTGCGTGCAATTGCCATGTCGGCCGACAACACTCACGGCCTTTACATTCCTGCAGGCGCGCTCTGGGGAGGAAATGACATCCAAAAGATGGCCGATCGAAATACGCTCCAGGTTTGCATGTTGAAAGCGTTGCTTGTTCCACAAAGAAGGTTGTTGAGCGTGACAGCTGACTGTCATACTGTATTTTTTTTTTTTCGTTATCCAATCCCGACAGAGCCTGACAATCACGATGAAGAAACACCCGCTCAGTTTCCAACTGCTCGGACATCTCGTCGAATTGAACAACGCGGCTCTGAATGTGCAGGGCGAAAGCTTGCTCTATGACGGACCCGTGCGTGCACTCTGCCCGTTGGCACCAAACAATGTCAACACCATGGCTGCAGCAGCGCTCGCCGGCCACAATCTGGGCTTTGATAAAGTTCGTGGTGTGCTGATTGCTGATCCTCGGTGAGTTGCACAGTGTTTGGAATGTTTCGTGGGGATTGCTGATGTGACATCTTTTCGAACTCACCTCATCTCTCTTTCGACACGTCGCAGACTTGAGGGGCATATCGTCGAGATTGAACTGACTGGACCCGGAGCCGCTCCCTCGCCTTTCTCCGTCAAAACCTCTCGCTACAATCCAGCCGCTCCTGGTGCCGTGACTGGCAATGCCACGTACGCATCGTTCTTGAGCAGCATGCTTCGCTCAAACGGTCAGGGCAAAGGCGTGCATTTGTGCTAGTGAAACAAGAAAAACAAGTAAAAGATGCGAGGAGTTTCTCGAACGTTTAGCGAGTTGTCAATCGAAGAAAGGCAGCTTGAATACAAGATGGATTGATAGGGCAGAGTCAGAAGGAAGGATGAGAACAAGAGACAAACAACAAGGGGAAAAAAAAAAAAAAACTCGACAAAAAAAAGAAACCCGACAAAAAAAAAACAGCTCCGCCACCGGGACTCGAACCCGGGTCTCGGCAGTGAAAGTGCCGCATGCTAACCGTCTATACCATGGCGGAATTGGATGATCAGCTTTGGGGCAAAGTTGAAGTGGTTCCATCGCAAAACCAGACAAGACACCAACCGAAAAAAAGTAAAAAAAAACGCTCCGCCACCGGGACTCGAACCCGGGTCTCGGCAGTGAAAGTGCCGCATGCTAACCGTCTATACCATGGCGGAAATCGCTTGTTTGCGCCCTGGGCAAAGTGGAAGTGGTTCGGTTTCATCGTTCACAGCAAAGAGAAAACTCCAAGTTTTGCTTTCATTCACCAAGACGAGCTCGAGCTTTCGAACGTGCAGCAATTTCTTGTAATTATGTTGGCAAACATGTCAGCGCACAGGCAAAAAAAAAAAAAAGAAAGTTCCGCCACCGGGACTCGAACCCGGGTCTGGGCAGTGAGAGTGCCCCATGCTGACCGTCTATACCATAGCGGAGATGTTAACTCCCTTGGGCCGATGCTTATGTGAGCCAAAAGCGTGGTTGAGCCAAATTGTGCTTTTGGATTCGAGACATTTTGAACCTCATCGCAATGAAACAATATCGCGAATTATGGTCGCATTACATGCAGAGCGACGCAAGCAGAACACCTCGCAGAATTTTCCGCCATGTGCTAGTCCTTTTCCAGTAAACAGCTGCCCAAGAGAGACAACATCTCCGCTATGGTATAGACGGTCAGCATGGGGCACTCTCACTGCCCAGACCCGGGTTCGAGTCCCGGTGGCGGAACATCTTTTTTTTTTTTTGCCTTTTGCCTTTGCTGGCCTTTTTTTTTTCTTCTTGTGTTGTGAACCTGCGCAGATCGATGCTTCGAGTTTTGGGACTTTGTGGAAATGGTCATTTGGCTTCAAATCTGCTCTTTGTCTGTTTTGCCTAAATTCATGAAACCGAACCACGTCCGCTTTGCCCAGGACCCGAACAGGTAACATCCGCTATGGTATAGACGGTCAGCATGGGGCACTCTCACTGCCCAGACCCGGGTTCGAGTCCCGGTGGCGGAACTTCTTTTTTTTGTTTTTTTATCGGATTATTTTTTGGCATTCTCTTTTCTTTTTTGCAGTTCTGAGCATCCGAAATTATCAAACACACGACACTGATCACAATGGTGGGTCGCTCATGGTACTCTGTCATGAGCACGCGTTCAGAATGTGGCATTTATTGGCTCGCATCATTTTTGTGGACGATCGTCTTTTTGTCCACTTTCGCCATGATTGCTCGAAGCAATGCTGGGTACTGTTGTCAAAATGCAAGTCTTCTTTACAGTCGGTGTTGGTCCAACACTGAACGCCCTGCTTGATTTGAGCGACAAAATTGACTTCAATCGCCACTCCACAGATCTGCCCCCCCCCTCGCCAACCTCAACCAAAAACCAACAAAACAACAACACACAGAAAACCACAACTCCAACCAAAATATCTCACTCCTGCTTTGACGGTTCTATTCCAAATGTGGAGAGCGGTCTGGTCGTCGTCCTGCAATCTGGCTGGACGCTTGCCACAACCCGCCGCGCAGAGGTTGCTCACAATCAACAGCAACCAGCTGGCCTCGAATCACTTTGACTACCAGTCTGAGCACGCTCCACGGATATATCGTGGGCAACACAGCTCGGCGCATTCAAACAACCACTCCAACCACTCCAAGCACACTCACGCCAAGGGCAATCTGGCATCCACTCCAGTCCAACCACTCGTCCAGGCACACTCCAAGAGCGCACTCGATCGTGTCATTCACGACGCGGCGCAGCACCCGGACGCGTTCTGGCTGCGAGCTGCCAACCACAGCGGATTGCACTGGTCCAAGCCGCCAACCATTGCGAAAGTGCTCAACCCGAATGGCACGGCCGCTTGGTTCCCGGATGGCGAACTCAACACCTGCTACAATGCCATCGATGTTCACGTCGAGCAGCATCGAGGTGCGCAGGTCGCACTCATCCACGATTCGCCAGTGACCAAGTCTGTAACCAACGTCTCGTACACGGAATTGCAAGAGCGCGTGGCAACCTTTGCTGGCGTGCTTGCTCGGCATGGAGTTGGCATGGGAGATCGGGTATTGATTTACATGCCAATGGTACCCGAGGCCGCCATCTCGATGCTTGCGTGCGCGCGACTTGGCGCCATTCACTCGGTTGTGTTTGGCGGGTTTGCTTCTCACGAGCTTGCCACTCGCATTTCCGATTGCCAGGTACGATCGAAAAAGCGTTGCGTATGCGCGTGTGCATAAGGCCGCGGCGCGGGGGGGGAACGCTGAGAAGCAACCGAGAATGCTGACTGAAATTTTTACTACTGCTCTGATTATCGATTGCAACAATTTCAATGTCACTTTAGCCGTCAGTTATTATCACTGGGTCATGCGGCATCGAAGGCGCAAAGATCATTCCATACAAGCCGTTGCTGGACCGAGCCATTGACCTCGCCACACACAAGCCAAACTCGGTGATTGTGTTTCAGCGACCCATGAGTCGAGCATCTCTTGTTTCAGGCAAGACCCCAAAACGACTGAAATGTCAATGTAGCTGCGCTCTGTGGATCTCACGCCGTTTGAACTCACTTTTTTTTTCCAGGTCGAGATTATGACTGGACAGCCGAGGTGGAGGCTTCTCAGCCGCACGCTTGCGTGCCAGTACCCTCGCAGCATCCGTTGTACATTCTGTACACTTCTGGAACAACCGGTATGTCTCATTTACGTCGTTGGGACTTTTTTCTTTTAATTTTTGTCGTGCGGTATGCGACTGTTCGTTCTCACTGGGTTGTTGAATCACTCCTTCTTTAACGCACAGGCGCCCCAAAGGGCATTGTGCGCGAGAGCGGCCCTCACGCTGTGGCTATCAAGTGGTCCATGACCAACATTTATGGTCTTCGGCCCGGAGAAACCATGTTTGCCGGCTCGGACATTGGCTGGGTTGTCGGCAGCTCGTACGTTTGCTATGGCCCGCTGTTGAATGGCAACACTACCGTCCTATTCGAAGGCAAGCCTGTGGGCACTCCAGACCCTAGTACCTACTGGCGCATTGTCGACCAACACAATGTCAATGTGATGTTCACATCGCCGACGGCGCTGCGCGCGATCAAGCGTGAGCAATCCGACAAGCTCGTTGGTGGCTACGACACCAGTCGTCTTCGGTCGCTATTTGTTGCTGGAGAGCATTGCGACACCGACACACTCAAGTGGATTCAGCAGATGCTGCAAAAGCCGGTGATTGACCATTGGTGGCAGACCGAAACTGGCTGGCCGATGGCGTCGCTGTGTCCGGGCATCCAGCACATGCCAGTGCGCGCGGGCTCGGCCGGCAAGCCTGTCCCTGGCTACACGATTCACATTCTCGATCAAAAGACTGGCCAGGTGCTTCCGGAGCCAAACACGCTGGGTGCGATCGCCGTCAAGTTGCCAATGCCGCCAGGTGTGGTCACCACCCTTTGGAACAACCAGAAGAGGTTTGACTCGACGTACTTGTCATCCTATCCCGGTTACTATGACACGGGCGACGCTGGGTATTTTGACGAAGACGGGTACTTGTACGTCATGGCGCGCACCGACGACGTGATCAACGTGGCCGGGCATCGCTTGAGCACATCCGCGCTCGAGGATGTCATTTGCTCGCATCCCGCCGTCGCCGAGTGCGCTGTGGTGGGTGTCAAGGACCGTTTGAAGGGACAGCTGCCCATCGGGCTTGTCATTCTCAAGCAATCATCGGCCTCGGCTTCGCAAAGTCTTTCCCACGACCTTCAACGAATGGTGGCGGATCAAGTCGGCGCATTTGCTTGCTACAAGAACACCATTGTCGTTGAGAAGCTGCCAAAGACACGCTCTGGCAAAATCCTGCGCAAGACAATCCGACAGATGGCCAATCACGAGAAAGTCGACATTCCTGCGACGATTGAGGATGCTGCAGTCCTTCCCGTCATTCAGCAAATCCTCCACGATGCTAGCGATGTCAAGCCTCCCTCGTCGCATCACTGATAGCCTTGATGGTGGTGTAGATGTGTGTACAAATTGAAAACAGTCACTGTCACCTCAAACATTTATTCCGAGTATCTTCTCAACAAGACAAAAAAAAAATCTCCAAAAACACTGTGCAACGTTCAGGCAAACCAAATTCGCATCGGCAACGACAAAATGGCAACAATGACTAGGCAATTTCCAAAAATAATGGCCAGCACCTCGCTGTAGTAGCGAGGGTTCATAAAGTTGTCCACAAACGCTCGAGTAATCACCTTGTAATGCTGCGGAAGCTTGCGCTTGATGATGACCTTCCCAAAGAGCAAGGCAAAGACCAAAAAGACAAAATTGCAGGCTGCAAAGATGACACTATAAGCATACTGCCGCGGAGTAATGCCTTGATGCTCGGTATCAGTGTCCATGCCGCGAACCGGGTGAGTCGAGTTCTCGGCAAACGGGTAGGACTGCGCGTTGACGCCAAAACGCAAGACGGGAGAGATGCTCAAGTAGAAAATAATGCCACTCATTTGACTGAGCACCTTCCACAAAAAGAATCGTGTTTGCCGACGCAGATAGCCAGTTCGATTGTTCGAGTGGCCTCGATCGTTCGGATCCTCCGTTTCAATTGCGCGGTTCCCAGGAGTAGAGTGACATCCTTTGCAACATAGGACATTCTTGAGAAAGTCCTTCACCCAGATGCGAAAACGGAACCAGCTGTAAACGAGCAGCAGCAGCAGCAGCAGCAGCAGTCAGGTTGTTGCAACAGCAGCACCGCGTTCAACCATCCACATCCCCTCAGTGCGGAACCTTACTAGGGAGTCAGAAACAGCAGATACGCCACATTTTTGAAGAACGAAACCAAAAAGAAGACTGCATATGTTCCGGCGGGTTCACTGACGTACGGGTATGCCATCGTGATAAACTGTCGCGGTCGAACAAGGTGATGCACGAGAATCAGAATCACATTTTTCTTCAAGCCCAACCATGTGAAAGCAACCACAGGTCTCATGACCCGACATACCACATCGGGCAAGTGCTCAACCCACAGGCCCGAGATCAGCATGGCGCTCTCGAGTGGGAAGGGATCCGTGAGAGCAAGCAGAATCTTCTTGAAGATGAAGGCCACAATGCCAATCATGACAACGAGAACTCGCTGAGCCACATAGTCTCCAATGTTGATGAAAAGCACAAGGACGGTCAGGCAGCCGATGAAAAGAACCACTGCAAGCATGACTTTCATGTACTGATACACCGCCGCGCGTCGAGCCACGGCAGCCTGATGGAGTGACTCTCGAGCAAGCTCCATGTCCACAGGAAGGTCGTCGTCGAGATTTGCGTTCGCCTCAGTGGAAGCGAAAGATGCGCGGGGATCCACGGATGACAAGTTTTCGTCTTCCTGAGTCGGTGGATTGCCTCCCTGCGTCGGTGGGGATGACGTGTGGTCGCCAGTCTCGACATCTCGGCTGGGGTTTAGCTTTGCATGTGCCATGCTCTCGGAAGTCGCAAACTCAATTTCCACATCGTCGAGCCAAGATTGCGAAAGTGTACTGCTCTTAAGCAAGTGCGCGCGTGCCCAACGCTCCTCTTTGTCGCTCATGCCAGAGGCCGGCCCTTGATCTGCGCGAGGAGTTGGCCCTTGGGCTTCGCGAGGCCTTGGCCCTTCAACCAGATTGCTACCAGGGAGAGAGTCAGGCGATGGCGTTTCTGGAAACGACAAGGGCTGTTTGCTTCGAAGGTGCGACCATGTTGATCGTTGAAAGTACCAGAGCGCTGAAACAAACATAGTAGCAAACAAACAAACAGACACAAACCACAGTGAATTTCCAGTCCACGCAAACTCAAGCACGGGGTTCCAATTGCTTACCGCAACATGTGGTCATGAACGAGATGCCAATCGGAATAAGTCCTATAAAGCTAAACTCTCCAATCAACCAAATAATCACTGCCATGACGGCCACTTCGACAATGTAGGTCAAGGCAATGACGGGAAGATACAGCTGCATCTTGCCAAGGCCACGACACTCTTTGATGCAACCAGTGAAGACAACCATGTTGAGATACGCCCAGAACGTCCATGTGAGCGGGTTGATCACAAACACCCAGACTGCCAGCTGCTCGAAACGATTTTCGTCGTCCAAATCTCCGAGCGGAATGACGCCGTAGACCACAATGCTGACAGCGCTAGGCACCAGCGTGGTCACAGCCAGCAGCCAGGCGACAGTGGCAGGAGCGTTCGGCATGTGTGCAGCGACAAGCAAGATGAGATTGGAAAAGCGATAGCCCGACTGCTGAATCCATCGGCCGGCGCGCGATTTGGCTGTGCGGCGTAGAAACCCGCTAGCAGCATTAATGGCATCCGACGAGTCAAAGCTCAGCCCGCTCCATCGGCTTGGCGTGGAACTTGGCGAGCTCATCGGACTTTCGCGCATCTCCTCCGCGCTCAATAAAATCCCGCTGTCTCGAGTCGACGGCCGAGCACGAGCTGTTGAAAAGACGCCTCCAGAGAGAGCCGGATGTCCATCATTGGCAACCGTGGGCATCGAGGTCGGCGCCTCGGAGGTCGGCGATTGTGCTTCATGCGCGTGTTTCGCTTGTTTTGGCACAACCGGAACAATGTCGGGCTCGCTGGCAAACCGAACGATCGATGAAGCGGGCGACGATTTGTCTGATCTGATCATCATACCAGACGCAGAGCTACCCGGTCCGAGCCGCGGGTGCTCGGACGGCGTCGAGGCGAATGGAGCGTTGTTCTCGGCGCCGATCGTGGCTGGCAACGGAAAACACATCGATTTGTTGGATGTGAGAGATTCGATTGCAGGTGCGCTCTGACTTCTTCCCCGCCGCCCTGCAACAGAGTCTGGCTGATGGGTGGTGGTGGCTGTGGTGTCCCAAGCGTCGGTGGCACCGTATCGGTGGACGGGGTCGCGCGATTGCAGCAACGGAGAACCGGGCGCCAAAATGAACGCCGTTCCCCGCTCCGCGTCACCTTCATGGCTGCGGTTCGGCTCGCCGGTCTTTTCAGCAGCGTCGGGTAGCGCCGTCACTTCGTTCGACTCGATGGAAGGCAGGCTCACAGTCCGTGTGGGCATTTTCTGGTCCGACACAGCGTTTTCCTCGAGTATTTTGGGAGTTTTGTTGAGTTTTTTTTTTTTTTGAATTGTTTTTTGTCTGAGCGAATCGCTGCGTGACCAGAATCACAGAGCAAAAAACAAATTAACGGCGAAAGGATTCAAAAACAAGGAACAAACGAAAACAAAGGGAATAGGACTGACTTTTAAGCATGATCAGTTCTGAATCGCTCACAATGCTGTTCGGGCATCGCTACATGGCACATGGGCCCCCAAGCCAACAGCCCGATGGAAGGGCATGATTTCAACCTTTCCGTTCAATGACGCTTTTCTTCATCAAAAGTACTGCACTGCGTGTAGTGCGGCGATTGAAAATCGGACGAATCTGGCATTAACACTTGCAAAAATTTACAATGGACAGCTGCTACTGCATGCTCAGCAAGTGAGCAGTGATCTTGCGCAGACCATCACACAACAACAAGCCATTCGCTGGTGGAAGTGCTATTTGAATGGCAGCAGTGGCTGCCTCGTTCAGAAGACCGCTCGTGTACACACTTCCCGTCCAGGACTCGACAATGGGTCGCTGAAGGGCTTCTCCTGTGCTTGCTTTGAGACAGAGCACGGATCTCGACGGGCGAGGCATTTTAATGTCAATGGATGTGTAGTTGCACCCGGGCCAGGTCGTGATTTCGCCAGCCAGCTCAAGCGGTGGCCGACTCGAATCGGGCCGCGCCACATCAGTGCCATTGTCAAACATGTCGATGAGGCTTGCAACTTGCACTCGTCGGGCCACGTAGCTATTCAGAAGAGTAAACATTTCTGTTGAAAACGCCTGTGGAAACAAGAGAAACAGTCGAAAGGAAGAGACGGGCACGAAACAAATGCCCCCTTTCAAACCGAGAACACGACGAGTTGTGCGCTTTGACCAATACCTGCAAATCTTGTGGAAGATACCTTTTAGCGAGACTGTACAAGTCGATAAAGCTGGGGATGGTGTGCTTGACAACTTTCACTGCATCCTCGCCTCCTGCATCCGAAGCGCCCAGTGACACAATGACATAGTAGGTTTCAAAGTATTTTCCTGGAAGATGGTGAATCGATTTCATGACCCAGATGCGCAATCGGAAGTGTTCAGCAGAAGAGGGTAAGGTGAGACACAGCAGACACGCACAGGGCTACGCGTGACCAGGCCGTACCTTTGTGCGATGTGTCAAATCGCAGAGCTACATGATGCGTATCGATGGCAAACGCAGTTCGTCCACTCAAGCGGTATGCAATGTCCAGCTGCGGATGCCAGCAACAACAACACAAAACAACGGAAATGTTATCGTCTATCGGTTGACTGCAACCTCAAAAAACAACCGCGTCGACAGGCAGCCCAATGCAAATCTCTATCAAAGCCTGACTGACCTCTTGCGCCTGTGTTGCTTGTGCAGAATTGCCGACAACGGCTTGCTGCAACTCTGCTGGAATCTCTCTGGACGATTCATCGCCTTCCGCATCTCTTCCCACGGCCTTCCCAGGTCCCGAACGTCGTCCTGTTGGACCTGTAGAGAAGAGGTCGGCGGCTCTGTGTTGGGTGGACGCCAACGACGACGACGACGACGGCAGTTCGCCTTTGGCCAGCACATCTGCGAGGGTCATGGCCTTGCGATTCTTGGCAATTCGGTGCTTGAGCAACCGATGCCGATTGAGCAACTAACAAACAAAACCCCACCGCAACAAACAAACAAACGCAAGCAGATGGAGGTCCGCGTTATGAGCGACCGAAAGGGCCAACAAGAAAAGCGCGGGAAAATCGACTCAGTTTTGAATCCGTTTTGAATCCGTTTTTGCGTTTGGGGCTTTGTTACCTTGTCTCGTTCGGCACGCAGAAGTGCGATGCTCTCGTGATTGCGCTTGATTCCATTCTGGAGCTCGACCAAGCTGGAGAGGCGCAAAGGGGAGAAGGAGAGGGAGAGGGGGAGGGGAATGAGAGGGCAATGTACGACCATACAACACCTTTGCCTCAGATACGCTCGCTCCAATACCCTTGCAACAACAACATGCTGCTTGGGCTTTTGGTTGTTGGGGGGGGGGGTTTGTTACCGTGTGGACTGACTGTGCAGCGCATCCAGCTGCTGGAGCGTGCCTTGGTCGATCGTGTCGTGAATGGTCGCAATGCTTGCCATTCTGACCAAAGCTGAATGAATGAATATGACTGAGTAAAAGGATGAGATGAAGAAGTCCATTGTGTGTTGGGTAATACTTTGCCATGCCACTTGTATTCGAGTTGGGTTGAAGGCTGACCATCGAAATCGAGCCAGCGAGAATTGTTTGATCGTTTGAAGCTCGGCTTGGCGCAGTTCTTCCGCTCGAACGAAGAATCCTCCTGACATGAAATACCCAGATTGCACGAACGATGTGTGTATTGTGTCTCAGGAGTCCTCTGCTGCTGCGTGGTTGGCTCTGGTTGTTCAATCCTTCCTGCATTTCAAATCCTTCAACCCGCATTCACTGCTTTGCACTGCTTTGCAACCCGATTCCAATTCCATTGACTTTGTACTGGATGTGTGCTTTTTTTCCAAATTCGAACTGGAGCTCATTTCACTTTCCCCCCAACTAAACAGCGATGGGCAAGGACGCAAAGAGCCCAGCGAAGGGCGACGATGCCAAGAGCGCAAAGAGCGCAAAGGACGCTGGCAAGGGCACCAAGAAGTCCAAGGCGGCCGAGAGCAGCGACGACGACGACGACGCATCGGTGAGTGACAGTCCGCAGTCGTATTGGCAGAGTGAGTGTGAGTGAGTGAGTGAGTGTGAGTGAGTGAGTGAGTGAGTGTGGCGAGTTGGGCAAACAAAAAAGCGGTGACTGTTGTGGGTTTGTGCCTCTCCCCTTCTTCGCTGTCTCTGTGGGTTGCTGGCTTTTTGGCAACAACAAGCACACTCCCGCTTGCACTCTGCTCTTGTTTGTTGGGGTTGTCTTTGCGTTGAGCCTTTTTGTCGGTTTCTCACAGTTGTGTTGTTATTGAATATTATTTTGGAATTATTTTGGATTTTTTTTTTTTTTTTTTTTTTTTTTTTTTTTTTTTTTTTTTTTTTGCGCTTCAAACGCGACCCGCTGTTTGTTTAGGATTCCGATGATGAAAGTAAGCTTCCCTCTTGTTTGTGTTGCATTGGCTGCATTGGTTGCATCGTTGCATTTGTTGCGCTTTGTTGTGACGTTGTGGTTTTGCTGTGGTTTTGAAGCCAAAAGTCACTACACAAATTGGATTGGTTTTGTATTTGTGGGCCGCTGGTGCTGATCGTACCAGAGGCCAGAGAGGGAAGAAGCAGAAGAAGAAGCAAAAGAAGAAGAAGAACAACCTCACAGCAAATAGTAATGATTGTGGTGATGGTGATGGATTGCTCAACCAAGGAGCCGGAAAAACCTCACGAATCTGCTCTGATTTGCGCTGATACTTTGAATCTTTTTGTTATTTTTATTTGTTAGTTTACTGTTGCGGTCTGTTTGGTTGAGAAATTGTTCCGAGATTCAAACAGAAAAATCTCAAAACACAAGACTCTCCATCTTTTATCGACCCCAATCGTTTGAACTTGCGTTTGGGAACTGATTGTATTGATTTTCGAATGATTCTTGGCTGATAGTCTTCAAGTTGGAGGACGAAAACAAGGCGCTGAAGGCATCCATCGCCACGCTCAAGCAGGAGGCCGAGGCCAAGGACAAGGCTCACGACGAAGCCAAGAAGGCGGTCGAGAAGGAGCTGGAGGAGGTCAAGAAGACGCTCGAAAAGGTCAAGAAGGAGAACGAGGTTCTGCTTGCGAATGTGGCCGCCAGCACTGCCGCCAAAAACACGCAGAGCAAAGGCACGCTCAGCCTGTTCAAGAAAAAGTCGGAAACGGAAGCACCCGCCCCGGCCTCCCCGACACCGGCCTTTACCAACCCGTTCGAGGAGGTTGAGCGGCTGCGTGGCGAGCTCGCCAAGTTTACCGACATGACCGGAGAAATCACCCTTCTGAAGGAGCGCGAGGTTGAGAAGGACTCTGAGATTGCCAAGTACAAGGAGGAGCGCGAAAAGCTTCGCTACGAGCTGCAGCACCTGCGTCAGCAGGTTGGCAGCTTCAAGGCTGCGAACGAATCCGAGGAGGATGTGGTATGGCCTTTGTTGTTTTGTGGTTTTTGTGGATTTTCAGTCCTTGCTCGTGTGTGCAGGTCGGTTGAATCGCTGCCCCAGGTGCTCATCTTCCGTGTTTTGATCCGATGGCGTTGCATTCTCGCGCGACTCATCTCATTTCGCAGCTCAAGCGAAAGGCAGAGGCAGAGAGCAAGCGGCAAGCAGAGGAGGCTGCCAAGAAGAAGGCTGCAGAAGACGCCCAAAAGGCTGCCGAGGCTCAGAAGGCTGCTGAAGAGGCTGCCAAGAAGCAGGAAGAGAGCGACGAAGAGGATGACCCCGATTTCATCTCGACAGGTTGGTACAAGTAGTTTTTGTCGAGACACAGCCCGTCAAATGCTCTTGGTTGTTGCTCATGCTACTCGTCTACGTGCTTCACAGAGGCTTTCGAAATCTCGATCGGCGATGACCAAAAGGTCAAGCTGCAACTGTGGTCGGACAAGCTGCACAAGTTCCTGACGAAGGACTTGCCAGACGCTGGCGAGGATGCTGGCGCTCTGGCGAGCGTGCTGAAAAACTCTGCCAAGGTCACAAAGGACATTACAGCCCTGTCGCGCAAGATTGCGCCGCGAGAGTTCCGCACCCGCAACGCGCTCCTGCAAAAGGCCGTGCAGTGTGCGGACGAGTTCAAGACTGCCACTCTTGACTTTAGCGATCACATCAACCAGTTTGTCGCTGGCAAGATCAAGAGCAAGAAGGTCGCCGAAGCCGGCGCTGTTGTTGCGAAAAAGGCACGAGCCCTGAACGATTACTACAAGACTCTTCCGTGAGTTATCGACGAGCCCAGTGATGAAAAGGGACGCCGGGTGGTGTTTTCGAGGGGTGACCAATGATGCTCACTTTGTTTTTTATCATTGTTTGTTTTTGTTTGCTTTGTCTTGTGTTTGCACAGTGAGGACTAACCCTTCGGTGGCTTCAATACTTCCCATTGTCGAGTTTCCTCGAGGGGCCCCAGTACATATTGTCGTGATCGTCGATATAACTGCTTGTCGTGTGTGATTCCAAACATGTGCGAACAGGACATGCTGATTCAATGATGATGGTAATTGTGCAAGGCACGTTTTATTGGACAGGAGAAGTGTCTCATAACAAAAAGCACTCGTCTCCTCCACTCGGTGGAGCGTTGGGAAACAGCACGAAAGCGTTGAATATTACCATCGTCATGTACTTGAAACGGGCGAGATTCACGCCAGCGTCACCTGAAGGTAGTAAGTATCCTGCTTAACTTCGGCACACTCTCCAAGCCGGGCAACGCCACGACCGGTGTATGTTCCTTGGCGTCGGCAGCCGAGCAGTTCAAACACGCCGTAGCCGACAGTGTTGTCTGACAGGAGCGTGAACTGAACGAACGACTGGCTGGAGCCAGCGCCTTGCAGGTCGGACACGAACTGGCACAGGCCACTCATAGCGTAAATCGTACTTTGAGACGCAGGACGCGAGCAGGAAGGGTTGGTAAAGAACACAACTCTGAGCTGCTTGGCTTGGACAACGCTGTTCACTATCACGAAAAGCGGTGGACTGACTTGAGGCAGCAGCAGCGTGCACGCGCCATCGCTGGTGGAAACAACGTTACTCCAATCTCTCATGCTCGAGGTCGCGTTGACCAGGAACGGCGACGAGCTGGTGGCACGGGTGATGGTCATCCGGCCAATGTCTTCATAGCCGGGCGCCCACGGCACATTGTCGCCGTCAACAACCACATTGCCGTTGTTGCAACGGTCACAAGACGTGCCCATGCGGTAAAAGTACCAGTTGGCGTTGGCCGCAGCCAGGGCAGCGAGCGAGAGCAGGACAAGAAGAACAAGCCTCATCGCTTTAAACAAACAAACAAACAAAAAAAACTGAGATAGGATACTTGTGCTTGTAGATCTACAGCGAGATGGATGCATTCAAACAAAAAAAAAAGATTGTCGTGCAATTGCGAGCAGCTCTGAGGTAGCAGCTCTAGCGCAACATTGTGATCGAGTTGAGGCTTCAAAAATGAATGTGTGTCTGTCGGTCGGTCACTGCGTTCTGCGCTTCGTATATGCCTCCGGCGGTTTTAATCCATCCACTACCATTCTACTCCCATCCGAAGGCGGTCGTTTTTTTTTTTTTTGGGGGGGGAGGGGTTGGCGACCCAAAAAAAGGAATGAGCCGACACATTGTGGAACATCAGGAGATGGGTTGGCAAGTGCGACAATGAAAATTCTAGCAGAAAACCGGGGCGCAGAGGCGACGACATCCGCCACACACGCGTCTTGGTTTTGGATTGCAGACTGTGGATCATCTGTATTTGGAATGGCTCACTCGCAGATCCATCAGCAAAGTCGGTTATTTCCCTCTCATTACTCTCATCATCAACCGCAATACTATTACCTTCGTAGAACGATCTCTGATCATTGCATGTCTCATGCAGCAAGCTGACATGGCGTCGCACGGGGTCCTGTGGTTGTTGTTGTTGTGGCTGTGATATGTAGTCTCGTTTAGCGCAGTCCGCTCCATTCGCCGTTCGTGATGCTCAGGCGCCAGCTTTGCCTCTGGACCAGCTTGACCCAGCTTGCGTTGAAGTTGGTGATGGTCGTGGGTGTATGAGTGGGGATGAGTCGGGGTGAGTGTTGGAGTTGAATTGGCTTCAATCTTCATTCACCGTGCGAGCGAGAGGACGCGCTCGCCGTTCTGTCGTGAAGAGAGCGAACGAACGAGGCGTATTACAAGTCACCCCCCCCCCCAACTGTGTGCTGCACCGTCCTGGACTGACGGAGGAGAAGAGGGACGGGGATGAGAATTGGCCAAAAGCTGACTAATCTGAATCATTCTAGATGGCCTCCGCACGCACACCACGGCAGCGCGAGCTGTTTGAAATCGCCAAGTCTTACAGTTGGGTCAAGTAGGTATCGTCCAAGAAGACCCCAGGCGTGGTCGTAAAACTTTGCGCTGACTTGTTTGGCACGAAAGCCTCAAAAGCTCAGGGATTGCCGATGAAACTGCTGTCGTGATTGCCGAGGGTCTCAAGGAGAATCGCAATTTGCAGATGCTTGAGTAAGGCAGTCAGTCGCTCGAAAATGAAGTCACTCAAGGACGAGATCTGACACGAAATTGTGTCAACTACTGTCTGTAGTTTGAGTGACAACCAGATTGGCGACGCGGGGGCACAGGCAATCGGAGCTGCGCTTCGGAAAAAGACAAAGCTATCTGTTCTCCTGTACGTTCTGGGTGCTGTCATGAGAGCCGGGGAGGTTCTTGGGCGCACGGATCTCACTTGAGTGATACATTACAGCCTCAGCAATAACAAAATCGGAGAAACTGGAGCTCGCGCCATCGCTGAAGGCCTGCAGACGTCCACTGCGCTGACTCAGCTCGGGTACAGTCGAACGTTTTTGACTGTTGGTCGCATCTCCAGTTTCGCTCACGAGTGGCTTGTTTCTGATGTTTCGTTTGAGGTAGGATGCACACCAATCAAATCGGCGACGCCGGTGCGCAGGCGATCGGACCTGCGCTTCGGGACAAGGCGAAGCTGTCTCTTCTCCAGTACGTTCTGGTGGTGTCGCAGATTTGATTCTTCACAAGACTCTCACATGCGCAACTATGATGCAGCTTGGAGAGTAATAAGATTGGTGATGCTGGAGCTCGTGCCATCGCAGAGGGATTGAAGACGTCGACTACACTGACCAAACTCGGGTAATTGTTGTGGTCGCACGCTTGCTCTTTTGGTCTCGTCTCCAGCATCGCTCAGGAACGTCTTGCTTCTCATGTTTGTCTGACATAGGATGCGCGCCAATCTAGTCGGCGACGCGGGAGCACAGGCGATCGGGTCTGTGCTGCGGAACAAGGCGAGCCTGACTGGACTCTAGTACGTTCAGGTGCTGTAACGCGTCTATTGGGCACGTTCTAATTCGGCCGATTTTGATTGCAGCTTGGACAAGAACACGATTGGTGATACCGGCGCTCGTGCTATCGCTGACGGCTTGCAGACGACGACTGCGCTGACCGAGCTCAGGTACTGTGGTCGCACTGTTGACGTTGAGTCGCATTCCCAGCTTGTCTGAAACACCGCATGTCACTGATACTTGTCTGATGCAGGATGAACGCCAATCAAATTGGCGATGCGGGAGCACAGGCGATCGGAACCGCTCTCCGGAACAAGGCCAACCTGTCCCTCCTCTAGTGCGTTCTGGTTGTTGTACTGTGCCTCTTGAGCGCGCTCTAATTTTGACTGGATTGCCGCAGCTTGAACAGCAACAGGATTGGTGATTCCGGCGCTATTGCCATTGCTGAAGGCATGCAGATGTCGACCGCGCTCATTGACCTGAGGTATTTATAGTTGCAGGTTCTCGCTTTGGCGTCATCTCCAACTTTACTCAAGAGAGTGGCTTGCCTCTGATGCGTGTTTGAGCTAGGATGAACACCAATCAAATCGGCGACGCGGGAGCACAGGCGATCGCATCCACTCTCCGGAACAAAGCCAACCTGTCAATCCTCTAGTACGTTCTGGTGGTGCAGAGGGGCTCTTGCATGCGCTGCTCTAATGTGACCAACTTGATACAGCTTGGACGAGAACAAGGTTGGCGATGCCGGAGCTCGTGCTGTCGCTGAAGGGTTGCAGGTGTCGACAGCACTGACGCGACTCGGGTAAAGTGGTGCGCACGCGGGACTTTGAGTCGTGTCGCCAGCGTCGCTCACGATGGCTTGCTTCTGATGTTTGTATGACTTAGGATGGACTCGAATCGAATCGGCCACGCGGGGGCGCAAGCGATCGCAGCTGCGCTGCGGAATAAGGCCAACTTGTCCAGACTGTCGTACGTTCTTGGTGCTGTCACAAGGCATTGGATGCGCGGCTCTAATTTGACCGGCTTTGGTACAGCTTGAGCAATAACAAGATTGGTGACACTGGAGCTCAAGCCATCGCAGAAAGCCTGCAGACGGCTACTGCTCTGACCGAGCTCGGGTACTGTAGTGCCGCGTTTGACCTTCCGTCGCATCTCCAGCTTTGCTCGATTCTGGCGTGCTTCTGATGGTTGTCTGATATAGGATGCAAACCAATCACATCGGTGACGCGGGAGCACAGGCGATCGGATCTACTCTCCGGAACAAGGCCAACTTGTCCATCCTCTAGTAGGTTCTGGTGCTATCACCGGGGTTATTGGTCGCACTGTCCTTACTGGAGCGGATTCGATACAGCTTGCACAGGAACAAGATTGGTGATACTGGAGCTCGTGCCATCGCCGAAGGGCTGCAAACATTGAGCGCGCTGACGGACTTTAGGTATCGTGGTCGCACTTCTGGCCTTGCATCTCCAGCCTTGCTCAACTATGGCTTGCTTCTGATGTTGGTCTGACATAGGATGAACGACAATCAAATCGGAGACGCGGGAGCGCATGCGATCGGATCTGCGCTTCGGAACAAGGCGACCCTGTCGAAACTCTCGTACGTTCCCATCGTGATACAGGGTTGATGGGTGCGCGGGTCTACACGGAAGAAAGCAATGCAGCACCTTGAACTAACCAAATATTGAACATTTGTTGAAAAAATATTGTCCCGTGTTTCTGCTTGCAATAGTCTATCAAACAACCAGATCTCCTCAAGTGCTGCTCAGCTTTTATCCCAAAGCGTTCCCAAAACTTGCGAGTTCTCGTGAGTTTCACTTGTCTTGTGGGTGTTTATGAGTTGAACGTCGTTCTGACTTGCTTCATTCCAGGGCCGAGAGTCAGCGAGGCAGCTTTCAAGATGCCACCCCTCCTGCGAGTCCATCCGTCATCTCAACGAAAACTGCCCACCTATCGGATACCCCCAGCTCGCCTCTTCCCACGTCTGATTCAATGTCTCAGGATGTTCGCCAGCTCCAGGCGCGTATTGCTCAATTGGAACTAGCTCAGCAAACCACCAACCCCATCAACTCTGGCATTCCGCGAGTGCCGTTGCAAGTTCTGTCGCAAGCAACAGCGCAGTTTTCAGAGTCCAAGCGCATCGGCGCAGGTGGATTTGGCCACGTCTACTCTGGTGTCTGGAGTGGTCAGCCCGTTGCGGTCAAACGGCTTGCAGCGGGTTCGAACCAAGGCGTCGCTCAGTTCGAGTCAGAGCTAGAAGCCCTATCGCGTTTCCGCCACCCGAATATCGTCACCATCATGTGCTATGCTCAGGAAGGCAACGAGCGCTGCCTGGCCTTCGAGTTGATGGCAAACGGTTCTGTTCGTGATCGTCTCGATCGCAAGGGTGGCACGCCTGCATTGAGTTGGGATCAGCGCCGAAACATTGCCACAAGTATTGCAAATGCTATGCACTTTGTCCAGACTGCCATTCCGCGACAGCCGCTGTTCCACCTGGATCTCAAGACGGACAATGTGTTGCTGGACGCTCAGTTCAACGCAAAAGTCGCCGATTTCGGTTTGACGCGCTCTGCGCCGATGCAAGTGGACGGACAAAGCTACGTTCATACCCAGACTGTTCAAGGAACTCTTCTTTATATTTGCCCAGAGTACCAGCACGAAGGCAAGGTTTCCATCAAAACGGATGTGTACTCGTACGGCATGATTCTGCTTGAGCTCGTTACTGGACAGCCGCCCAGCCTCAATCTGATGGCCAACGTTCGACGCGAGCTTAAAAAGAGCCGTAAAGTTGATGCGGTGCTTGACAAGGCGATTGACTGGAGCATTCAGGACAAGGAGGCGGCACAAGCCATGGCGGAGCTTGCTTCTGATTGCCTCGAAACCGTACGAGTTGACCGACCATCGTTTGGCGAAATTCTGAGGCGATTGTCTGGGAAAGAAGCTGCAGGAGCAAATGAGGAAGAGGCTGTTGCAGGCAGCGATCGTGAGTGTTTGGTCTGCTTCAACGCCCCGACCAATGCCAAGCTGATGCCGTGCTACCACGCATGCGTCTGCGTTGCGTGTGCTCAATGGATGATACAGCGTCAAGACAAGTGCATGATTTGCCGAGTCCCTCCGACTTCGTTTCAAGAAGGCACGTTCAACCAGACTTTTGTTCAGTGAACTGCTCTGTGGTTGATGATTGAGAGTGTATTCATCTGGCACATGTCAGCGGAAATAAACTGAACAAAAATCCAAGGTTAGAACAATGTTTGCTATCGTCACAGGCTGTCAAAGCATGGCGCCACTGCGGTGAAAAATTTCAAGCACGTCAGGTCGGCAAAAGAAAAAACAAAGGAAAACAAAATGGCGAGCAACTGCCGAGACACCTTTGAGGGCAAAGTGGTCTCACCCTCATGACTCTCGCCACTCCCGGCAGCACAGAACCAGTTCGTTCAAAAGAGTTCGTGGAGAAGACGAGAGGGGAACACTAAAACAGGTCTCGGCCCACCTACGGTTCTGCCACGCTTATCGACGTGACCTCCAGGCGAGTCCTCTGCTTGACAACCGGCCAAACTCATCGCAAAAACGGAAAAAAACCATAACAGACTGATTCAACCGACAGGTCAAAGTGATTTTTGTTGTTTTTCGGCATCGTGTCGCTTATGGTGAGTTTGGTTCTTTTGATCGAGCTGCATCATAACGGAAGACGCTGTGTTGAGATGACATCTTGCTGATGCGCATTCTCGACCACAGGCTCGCCGCGCCCAGGTCCTTGTTGTTCTTTGACTCTTCATAGGCAAGTACACGACCGTTGAAGACTTGCCAAGTTCGTCGACGGCGAGCCAGACTCTCTCGATCTGTACTGCTGCGTTCTGTTCTGTAAGAGTAAGTGAGATCAGCGATCGCGACAAACAGTGGCAACAGTGGCACAGCATCTCAGTCGTTTGCCGAAATGTTTACACGGAATTCGATGGTTGGCGGTGCGATCTTTGCTGTGCCGCATCGCATTGCTTCCCTCGCCTTGTCATCAAAGAGCTACAGACTTGGATGCAACTCTACTGCGCTTGCGATGCCGCTGCGATATGTCTCGGCAAAGAGCAGGCCGAAAGCCAGTCTTTCAGCAGCCTGCACTTTCGCGCCTTTATTAATGCAAAGCGTGTCGTCTGGCACCGAGCGCACGCTCCACGCACTCTCCAACGAGACATCTGCCGAATCATCTGCGGTAGCGCGAGCCGCGCGCCCGTTTGCGCAGCAATGTCGAAATGCCTCGAGTCTTGGCGGTGTGCCGCCTTCCCTGGATTCGTCCACTCAAGTAGAAACGCGGCCAGAGTTTCGGTATGTGTAGTGATGATGTTTGCATCATTGTGACTCGTCCGGAGTGCAGTTCGAAGAAGACCTTTGTGCACAATCGCTCACTTTGTCTGTATTGCATCACCGACTCCCAGTCTGCACCAGCTCCGCCTCCAGAACTTCAAAAAGTTCGAGGACATAACTTTCACCCTGACGCCCAGCCCCAAGATTATCGTGGGCGCGAACGGCTCGGGCAAGACGCAAATCCTCTGGGCGATTCTCATCTTCCTGCGCGGCCACAACGCTCGTGTCCCCAGCTCCAAGCACTTCAGCAAGGATGTTTTCCGATTCGAAGATGAGCTGGAAGACCTCTTTGGTGATCGGTTTTTTAGAAATAAGTATCAGTCGCCAGATACGCTCGTTCGCGTCGGCGCGCCAAACAAGAAATTCACCCTGACTGGCACGTTCCACGATACCACGTACCATCACACCAACGAGAACGTGATGCTGGAGTATTCGCTGGACAAAGGGCTGCTTCAAGACAAACCCGACAACCACCAGTCGCTCGCCCCAATCCGCTTCGCCTTCATGCCATCGATGTATCAGTGGGGAGCCCTGTCGGAAGAGCGGACTAGAGCCAAGATGTTCTTGACTGCCGGTGTCCAGCATCTGCGCCCCCGGCTGTTTCAGGCAAAAGACTTTGTGAACGATGGGCTCCGTCACCTCGGTCTTCAAGCCACCGTCTCTGCGGTTCGCGACGGCGTCGATGGTCCGGTCACGGCCACTGTCACCGAGAACGGCGTCACCCTTGACATTGGTGCCTGCGCCGGCTCGCTGCAAAAGATTATTGCCATTCTGACGCTTCTCTACCATCTGACGGAAGCCGCAACCATCAAGGCTGCCCAAGACGACGCGCGCGGAAAGAACATTCAGCACGACTCGAACACCTTCGCGCAGCGCATCTTCCTCATCGACGAGCTCGAGGCACTGCTCTATGAAAATGTGACGGCCAAGCTCTACGAGTTTCTCGTCAGCACGTGCGCCCAGCACAACATTCAGCTCATTGTCGCGACCAACTCGCGCGCCATCATCGAGCCGCGGCTGAACACCAAGCGTGAGGTTTTGTTCCTCACTCCGGATGGCAAGGCCGTCGAGCTGACAGGCGAACTGCCCACGGACGAGCAGAACCAGCAGTCCCTCTTCCCAGTCCTCAACGCACTCAGCCAGGTCAAGAACAACAACATGCCTCTGCTCGTGCTCGAGGGCGTGAACGACCAAAAGTTCTACGGCAAGTACACCGAGCTCGGCGAGAAGTTTCAGTTCATGACCACAGCTGGTGCTGTCAAGAAGGAGGGCGTCTCCCACATCCTGAGGCAAGCCAATCTCAAACACGTGTTTCTGAGCGACAGCGACATGTACGCCGCCTCGTCCGACCTGGCTGACGCTCAGAAGCGGATGACTAAACATGTTGGCTCCTCTGTCGTCTACACGCAACTGCCGTGCGTCGAGTCGTATCTGATCTTGAGTGAAATGCTCGAGCGTGCCGAGGAGGCATATGAGCTGCGCCACAAGGCCATCAAAGTGCTTGTCGGGCACAAGCTGTACTTTGTAAACTCATTCAAGAGCATGCTCAAGGAGGTGGGTCCGGAGCCTTCAACAATGCCGATCAAAGCAGAGCAAAAGCAGCGAACAAAGGAAGAGATCAGTGGCATGACCTTTGAAGAGCTCAACGCGCTTTCCAGCGACGAGTTTGGCCAGTTTACCAAGCAAGAAAAGCACGAGCTGTTCCAGAAGGCACGCCAGGCTTTGAGTGTTGCCAGTGCCTCCACTTCTGCAACAGACCGACTTTTCCCGAAGCTGCGACTTCCTTTGAACGCCAGCTCGAACGATCCGGAGGAAGTTTGGACTGCAATGCATGACAAGCAGAGCGACGACGCTTCGTCAAGCTCATTCGATCCTGTTGGCTTTTGGACCACGTACGTCAAGATGGTGCATGGCAAGGAGGCAATGGTGCGTGGACCTGACGGAACGCCGATGAGCACCGACGAGATGATTGACAGGACGAAATGTCTCCACCCCAAAGTCCAAGCCCTGCTCGACCAAACTGTAGAGACTCTTCTAAACTGTCTCTCAGAGGTTGAGCCTGAGTGATTGTTCGAAACTGTCTCATTGCTTCCGCTGTCGAGATTCAAACCCGGATTCATCTCTTTAAGAGTCCAACGCCCTTTCCATGGCGCTTTGTGGTTCATGTAAACACGACCAACAGGTTCCAACATCTCGAATATAGCGCCATCTGCTTTCCATTGATCGAGCTAAAGCGCTCAACGCTTTCGCGCTTCAATTCTCAGCGTCTCAATCGCAAACATCTACCTCTCAATACACTGTTTGACGAACATCAATGCTGTTGCTGAGACGCGTGGGAACGAGGACTAGAAATCAGATTGGGTCGTTGAGTGGGGGAGGAGTTGTACATGGGTTGCAGTTTGTCGTTTGTCGAGTGTTGTTGTTGATTTTTGCATTTTGATTGAACCCATTCGTGTTTTTTCCTTTGCGCTTTCCTTTTCTTTGCTCTTTTCCAATGGCTCCCGTTGTCGCTGCATCCAAGCCCGCTGCAGCAGCATCGTCACGCCTGCAAGCGTTCAAGAGCCTCGACTTTCTCAACCAGGCCGACACGCTCCTGACGCTGTCCATCCTCGGTCTTGCTGGGCTGCTTGGTACGCCCGGCTGCACAGCGCCTTGACATTGCATGGGGATTGGGATTTTGGGATCGCATCTTTTTTTTTTTTTTTTTTTTCAGTTTCCGCTTCACTCCTGATCCGCGTTTTGATCCGTTCTTCGCTGCTGTCAACTGGCAATCGTGTGGCGTTTTCACTCTCAAAACGCACGGCAATTTCCAGCAACAGTGACCCTCAATCGGCAGCTCGTCACAGTGGAGTAGACGAGATTTTTTTTTTGTTTTTTTTTTGGCTTTCAATCTCTTCACCATTGAAACTCAATGCATGTTGCGCTTGGTTGTTCGCCATTCGACTCACCTCTCCCTCTCTCCCTCTCTCCGATCTACGGTTGTCTCTTCTTGAATCCCCCCCCCTTTTTTTGTACCCTTGTGATCCAGCCTTCTTGGTCCGCTTGTTCGCCGTCATTCGCTTCGAGTCGGTCATCCACGAATTCGACCCTTACTTTAACTTCCGCTCGACAAAGTACCTCGTCGAGGAGGGCTTTGCCAACTTTAACAACTGGTTTGATGACAAGGCTTGGTACCCGCTTGGCCGCATTGTCGGTGGCACCATCTACCCTGGTCTGATGGTCACTGCCGCCATCATCCACAACTTTCTGCATGCCATCAACATTACGATCGACATCCGCAACGTGTGCGTCTTCATTGCACCGCTCTTCTCGGGCTTCACGGTCGTCGTCACCTACTATCTGACCAAGGAGCTCCGTGACAAGAGCGCGGGCCTCGTCGCCGCCGTCATGATTGCCATCGTCCCCGGCTACATTTCGCGCTCGGTTGCCGGCTCGTACGATAACGAGGCCATCGCCATTTTCTGCCTCCTGCTCACCTACACGCTGTGGATTAAGGCAGTCAAGACTGGCTCGCTCTTCTGGTCTGGCTTGTCGGCTCTCGGCTACTTTTACATGGTTTCCGCTTGGGGTGGTTATGTTTTCATCATCAACCTCATTCCGCTGCATGTGCTCACTCTGCTGCTGACTGGCCGCTTTTCTCACCGCGTCTATGTGGCCTACTCGACCATGTACGCCCTGGGCACGCTTCTCTCCATGCAAATCTACTTTGTCGGCTTCCAGCCCGTCCTCACGTCCGAGCACATGGCTGCCCTCGGCGTTTTCGGCCTCGTCCAGCTCACCGCCTTCACCAACTATGTCCGCTCCAACCTGTCGCCCGAGCAGTTCAACGCTCTGTTCCGCTCGGTCATTCTCGTGATTGGTGGTGCCTTGTTGGCTGTCGGCGCCGTTCTGACTGCTTCGGGCAAGATCGCCCCCCTCACTGGCCGCTTTTACTCGCTGCTCGACCCCACCTACGCCAAGGATAACATTCCAATCATTGCCTCCGTCTCTGAGCACCAGCCGACGACCTGGGCCTCGTTCTTCTTTGACCTGCAGTTCCTCTGCATCCTCTTCCCCGTCGGCTTGTACTACTGCTTCCAGGGCTTGACTGATGCCAACATTTTCATCATTCTGTACGGTGTCACCAGCATCTACTTTGCCGGTGTGATGGTCCGTCTGATGCTCGTCCTCGCGCCCGTCGCTTGCGTGCTCGGCGCCATTGCCATTTCCACCACTCTCCAGGCCTTTATCAAGAACATTGACCTGTCGGAGCCGCTCGTCATCTTTTCCTTCTCCTCCTCTGCCTCTGGCGCCTCTGCGCCGGCCAAGAAGGAGAAGTCGAGCACTGGCGCTCAACTCAACTACCGTGGCCGCTCTGAGGTTTCCATCATTGCCGTGGCCTTCTTGACCCTTATTCTCGGCTCGTACGTCTTCCACTCGACCTGGGTCACCTCCGAGGCGTACTCGTCCCCTTCGATCGTTCTTGCCGCTCGCGGCTCTGGCGCCGACCGCGTCATTTTCGACGACTTCCGTGAAGCCTACTACTGGCTCCGCCAAAACACCCCCAAGGACGCCCGCATCATGTCGTGGTGGGATTACGGCTACCAAATCACCGCCATGGCCGATCGCACCGTCCTCGTCGACAACAACACCTGGAACAACACCCACATCGCCCGCGTTGGCAAGGCCATGGCCTCCGACGAAGATACTGCCTACGAAATCATGCGCGAGCTCGACGTTGACTATGTCCTCGTCATCTTTGGCGCCCTCACTGGCTACTCTTCGGACGATATCAACAAGTTCCTCTGGATGGTCCGTATCGGCGGCTCGTGCGATCCCACCATCAAGGAGAAGGACTACTTTTCCACCAACGGCGAGTACCGCATTGATCGCGAGGGCTCTCCCACCATGCTCAACAGCCTCATGTACAAGCTGTCGTACTACCGCTACGGCTCTGTCATGACAGAGTACAGTAAGTGGAATGATTGTGGAGTTTTCCACTTGCTTTTTGACTCTTTGCAAGTCGATTTTTTTTTTCGAATTCTGTCTCACTATATCTGCTTTGCGTATTTAGACAAGCCCTCTGGTTACGATCGCGTCCGCAACGCCGAAATTGGCAACAAGGACTTTGAGTTGACTGTGAGCAGTTTTTTTTTTTCGGCTGTGGATTTTCTCCTGCATACACTTTCTCACTTGCTCTTGTTTTTCTGTTGTATCAGCATCTGGAGG